GAAGGATGAATGTGGGATCAGGGAAGAATATATTTCAACTAAGGGAGTCATATTAGAGTTTACAGGAAACTTGATTATATATGGGATCCCAGGTCCAAGGAGAGATCCCCAGATTGTTCTCTGGACAGAGGAGGGGGTGCCTGAACCGGCCTTGGCCCGTGACCATACTGATGAATATTTTGCTTATCACCATAGATCCCTCATCTGGCGTTGGATGACGATACAGATGGAGGCCCGCGTTGGAGCACCGAACTGAGCCCCCCAAGATCCAAACGAGGAGCAAAAGGAGGAAGAAAATGACGAAGGACTGCGAGGGATACTATCACCCACTGATACAAGGGGTCGGATCTAATGAGAGTTTACCAAGGCCAGATGGACCGTGACTGAACGAGCATGTGATCCAACCAGATTCTCTGAATGTGGCCGGATTTTCTGAATGTGGCTGGCCTGCAGTCTTTCTGAGAAGCCATTGACAATGACACTGGGACTGGTTTCCTCTGCATATACTGGATTTTTGGGATCCAGTCTGTTTGGATGCTCACCTTCCTGGACCTGGAGTGAGGGGGGAGGAACTTGGACTTCCCACAGGGCAGGAGACCCTGACTTCCCTTGGGGACAAAGAGGGAGGAGGAGAGGGAGGGGGGGAGTGGGAGGGCGTTGGAAGGAGGGGCGTAAATGGAAACTTTTTATAATTTAATAAAATTACTAAAAAAAATAAATAAATAAAGTCTTCCTTGAATTCAACGAAAATAAAGACACAACATACCCAAACCTATGGGACACTATGAAAGCAGTGCTAAGAGGAAAGTTCATAGCACTAAGTGCCCACATAAAGAAAACAGAGAAAGCTCACATTAGTTACTTACTACCCAAGTAGGATTTGAACCCAAGCAGTCTGGCACCCACATACACCCATTTCTCCTAACTTTTCCTTTTCCTTATTTGGAAAGAATGAAAGATTTCTAGCTAGAAAACAAATAAGTGGGAAAAGCTTGTTTCCCCACAGCAGATTTGTAATAAAGTTGGAAGGTCTAGCCCACCCTCCTCAGGGTTCTTATGTCAGATAATACGATATCACTGCTTCCAACACTTGCTTTCTGAAAGCTACCATGTCCTGTAAATCTCTCCTAAGAGTCTCCAGCCTAACTACCTTAGAACAGTGTTCTCAACCTGGAGGTTGAATGACCTTTTCACAGAGATCACCTAAGATCATCGGAAAACATAGATACCTACATTATGATTTTTAAGAGTAGCAAAATTACAGTTATAAAGTATCAATGAAAATTGTATAGCTGGGGGTCACCACCACATGAGGAACTGTACTAAAGACCTGCATGCAGCATTAGGACAGTTGAAAACCACTATCTTAGAATGGCAAATGGCCTCTCAATTCTCAACTTACCAACTTCTCTTTGTACTGAATCATCAAAAGATGCTAAAAAAAGTTGGGTCTCAAACACCTAAGAATTGCAGCTGCTATTTTTCAGAGTATGATAAACAAGGCAACCTAGTCTACCGATTAAACCAAGGTAGAGGGTTAAACTTCTTATATGACCATGCATTTGTCTGGATAGGAGTCACAGTCAGCCATTCATCACTGAGTATTTATTGAGTTCCTACTCTAGAGGGCAGTATTTCTTGTGCTGGAGATAAATAGACAAGGTTCGCCATCTTTGGAAGCTTATACCACATAAGTGTTAAGCTGCTACCGGAAAGTAAAGTCAGGTAAAGGGTAAACATATATAATTAAAAATTAAACAATAAAATTTACATTTTATGTAATATATTACCACGACAAACAAATATTACATAAACATATTAAACAATAAAATCAGGTGAAACATTTAAATGTGTCTAAGCTTTCTAAACTTGTGTCTGTGAGTTGATACCCGAGAAGGTGACTGAAACAGAAACATGTCCCAACATAGAGGTTACAAAATAGTTCCTAATTTCATCCTGGAATTCTTTAAGAAAGCATTCATTTATATTGTACTACTGCTTTCTGACCAAATACCACTACATGAAATTTACCTATAGGTATGTGTTTAGTATACTACAAATATATGAAAATTCACATTGGTATGTGTTAAACATACTATAAACATATATGGAAATGTACATAGGCACCTATGTAGGCATACAGTAATTTGAGTTTTCCTGCAGTTTCTCTATTACTTATATGCTGTTCTGTAATGAAATGCTGACTACTGATTTACAAACTACTTTTCTCCTCCTTCTTGGCATCTACACTGGGAGGGCAATATGCTGAGTCCTACATGTTGCTTATTTTATTTCAGCGGTGCATCATTCCTGTGATGAATACATCACTGATTTTTTTTCCATGTTTGAAGACGAGAGATTTGAGAATATTAAGGGAGTTCTCCACAATCATCTAGTTTATAGATACTTGAGAGTCCACTCCAGCCATTTGAATGGAGTTCCAGAATTCACACCCTTCCCCTTTACTTCCTCCAAGTCATCCTTAGGAGAAGCTCTGGCCTGTGACAATCATGGGCTTGTGTAAAGAATACTGTTGAATCGTACAGTCCAGGGATGGCTCTCCACACCAGTTCTGGTTGTGTGTGCTCCACTGTGTTACTCTCTAAATTGACTTTCTCATCTGTAGAATTAGGATTATAAACTAGGGGTGAGTACTAAATGGACATGTGAAGTGACACTGGGCTTAAAAGCCCATGTCATCTTCTCAAGTGCTGCTGAGTAACTGGAGGATCCGGAGGAGTGGTGAACTATGAAGTTAAATTGTAGGAGCAGTGACTACCTGGGAACAGGTGGGTGTAGCAGCGAGCTTGCCTGGAGCATGCCTGAGCTGGCAGGATTCAATAAACCATTTATTTTTAAAAATGAAGCCAGGTGGGGCTGGAGAGATAGCTCAGAGGTTAAGAGCGCTGGCTGCTCTTGGAGAACCTGGGTTGGATTCCCAGCACCTACCTGGTGACTCACAGCCATCCACACCTGGTTCCAGTGGATCAGGCACCCTCCTCTGGTGTCTGTGAGCATGGCACATATATTACACAACCTCCAGTCTAGGTAGGTTGATTTCTGCTCTCTTAATGAGAAACTTCTAGCTTCTTTTACACAGACAAAATGTCTGTTTTCTCATGTGAATTTGTAAAACAATGTTCCTCCTAGTAATGAGGGCAAGGTTGTATATCAGGACTGACCCTCAACAGAAGCCTAATAGTGACCCCTTACACAATGACATAAAGGACACCACAGAGACATGGTGGTTCCAGTACATTCTTTCTTAATGTCTTTTGTATTCTAGGGACCAATTCAAGATAAGTTAAAAATATGACTCACAGGAAGAAATATTTAAGATGACAAAGGTTAAAAGTAAGTCCTCCTGCTGGTCAGACTATGACTGTCCGGCTCTTCATCATTAAAGGATATAGAACTTTGCAAACCCAAATGATAAAAATAAAAAAGACATGAGCTATAAATCCCCAAATCTAGGTGATAGGTGGAGACAAACCAGTGTTATTTTATTGACCTGTATTAGGACCACAGGAATTTAGAAGCACTGAGGAATGCTTAACTGTTTCTCTCTGTGCAGCTCCCTTATTCTTTCCTACACTCATACTGAATACGGATTTGGGCCCATGTAACCAAATGACCAGATCTAAGTTCATTTCCATATAGTTTAGATGAAAGAAAAAGAGATACCAATCTTGACAGAACACGACAAGATCTATTCAGAACAGATTCTACTTGAGAGTTCTAGTAAATCCCTAACTTTGAAATTGAAGATGCTCTTTCTAGATCACAAAGAATACCTAATATTGCTCATTCTCATACACAAAACATAAAGGAACACTTGTGTCCCTGTGGGAACACTAATGTACTATATATACTACTTAACGATAAAAGCAAACCAGAGTCTGTGAGATGATGGCTCAGCAGGTAAAGGCATTTGACACCAAGTCTCAGTCGGCTCCCCCAAGGTGAAAAGAGAAAACCAACTAGCAAGTTGTTCTCTGAACTGGACACACGCCTATGGCATATGTGTGCACATATGTATGTACACACACACACACACAGAGAGAGAGAGAGAAAGAGAGAGAGAGAGAGAGAGAGAGAGAGAGAGAGAGAGAATCTAGGTGTTTTATTTTCTCTTATTTGAAGGGTCTTAGAGTCTCAAGGTAAGGAAGTTAGCTAAGAGGATAAAAGACAAAGTTGTTCAATTTCTAGTCCATATTTTCACACTATTGAAAGTACAGTAAGGATCTCAGTAACTTTAAGCCCTGCTCATTGACTCTTTTGAGCAATTAAGCTTTAGGAGTGTTAGAAATATTTAGAAAAAAAAATATTTATATGATAAAAGAATTTACTGAATGGTGGTGGCATAATCCTTTAATCCCAACACTCGGGAGGCAGAGGCAAGTGGATCTCTCTAAATTCGAGGTCAGCTTGGTCTACAAGAGCTAGTTCCAGGACAGACACCAAAGCTACACAGAGAAACCCTGTCTCGAAAACCAAAAGGAAAAGAAAAGGAAAGAAAAGAAAAGAAAAGAATTACCATCCTCATTATCCACTAAATATTTGCAATAAAAGCAGGAATTTTAACTTTTTCAATATGCCTAGTTAAATCTTCCAGGAATAAATGAAAGCTCACAGCATGCTGTGGTTGAAAGAGCTTCCACGGCTCCGTGTCTTTCACCACTCAGGAAGTCCCTGGTGCTCTGTCCGGGGACCTGTGCTCACCAGAGAACACAGCTTTCCCTCCCTCTCCTAGTCCGCCCTACCGGATCTGACTCTTATCTTTACACCGTGTGCAAAGTACAACTTCTCCAAATGGGTAGGCCAAAAAAGACCTTTTGGCCATTTCCTAAACAGTCTCTCTCTTAGTCATTTATATTGGGAGGAAGTGGGAGGAGTGAATTATTAATTCAGATACCTGCCTTTTTAGAAGTTGTAACCTTCTGACCTGTGTGATAAAGGGCTACAGCCGTTCTACAGTGGGAGAAGTACCCCCTCAAGAAGCGGTCTTGGATCCGTGCCCAGGAAAGCCATTCCTAGAGACTCCAGAAGGAGGTTGAGGGCTTGGCCCTCCACCGGGCCTGCAGGCTCCAGTGAGTCTGCGCACTAGTACTCATCTCTCGACCCTGAGGGAGGGCTGTTGCCCTTGACAACCCAGGCGGCCTGAGGAGCTTGACCACCAGCTGAGCGCTAGACTGCGCTGCTGCCTCTGATGGCTATGCAGCCAGGTCCAGCACTGAGAGCACCGTCCACCGTGATCTGTCTCTTCAGCCTGGGCCTGGGCCTGACAGGGTGAACTGGATCCTTGGGACTTGGAACAAGTGAAATGTGAGGTAATGGTGAGACGCTTTCTTTTGCTAAGTGTCCAGATGGACACTGAGTCTGGAGAAAGGACTCTACGGGTGAGGAGGGGAGGAAGAAGGAGAGCACATCTCCATTCTCCTCCGTCTTTTATGCCCTCTTATTTTGACCTTCAGAAAACTTTATTTTTATTTAAGTTTTGGGATGTGGAATCTCACTATGTTGTCCAGATAGCTCTTGAATTCCTGGGCTGAGCAATCCTCCTGCATCACCCTCACAATCAGCTCCCAGGAACTATTTATTCCATTCATTCTCACCCACTCATTCTAGAGTCCCAGTATATGGCTGTGCCGTGAAGTGAGGTGGAAAGTTAAATATTTACCATCACTATAGCATCAAGATTACCCACCAATCACCTTAAGTAAAATATTCATTAAAATTATCAGTCAGAAAGGGGAGAAGAGGAACGGGGCAACTGGATGCATCTGGCCAGGGAATTAAGCAGGACTCGTCATAAACACATAGAAAAGAATTTCTTGGCTTATGGGGACTCAGAGTGACTTGAGCTGGTCCTGGGCGTCTTAAAAGCACATGCACACACACTTTTTCTGATTAGCATTTTATGAGCTCTTTTCTTGGATGACTTTCCTGTGGACCTCCTCAAGATTACAGTCACAGTAAATATTTACTCCCCAACTTACTACATTCTGCCTCCCCTGAAAGTGACAATTAACAACTTTCTTAACATAGCATTTCATTATTTCCCTATACAAGTTCTGTAGTTCCGTGGCTATCCAGCCATGGTAGAGAAATTAAACTTGGCTGCCTTTAAGTCTCAACTCTCGATTGCTTCTTGGAGAAGCTGTGTGAAAGCACAGAGCTTATTTCAGTCACATGGTTTCTTTCCTGTTGCATTAATGGACATGGAAAAAAATAAATTTTAGGAAATAAAGATTCATTAAAATAATCAAGTCATTAGATTTGAACTTGCAGCATCATTTTGTCAAAACTGTCTTCTTTCAGATAAGATCAAGGAAAAATAGTCACATGATCAGTCATGTGTCATGACCTCTATTACTGACTTTCGCATGTATATGTATGTATGTATGCATACATGCAGATCATCAATAATTATAAAAGAAGAGGTCATGAACTCCAGAGAGCATTGGGGGACACAAGAGGAGTTGGAGGGAGAAGGGAAGATAGAAATTGTGAAACACAGTATATTTATGTTTGAAATTCTCAAACTTTTTAAAGAAGAAAACGCAAAATATGACTAGCACTAAGTTGATTGTGAATGTAAAAGAATCATTGAAGCTTTACTGAAAATTTTCTAATAATGTTCTCTAGTTGACTTTTATTCTTTTTATCTAGAAATGCTGTGAAATAGCAAAAGATAGCATGTTCAAAATATCAGTATTTCCTAGCTATAGAAAGACTAGAACTGGTAGGTAGCACTTAAGGTTGTGAGAAGGAAATGTATAAAAAGAAAACTCCTGTGGCCTCAGAGTTTGGGAAGAAAGTTTTCAAACAATAAGAGTCAGATGTATGAGTTTTCTCTGAGAAAAAGCATGCATACGTGTTTTATATTCTTTTGTAGAAATCTGTTAATAAAGATATCACCGAAGGTTAGAAACAAAATCAACCAGAGGAAATTCTGAAAGTATGGGATGTAGAAATTCAAAAATATCTTCATCAAATACTGTTGTCTTAGGGGTGAGTGTCATACTTTCTCATAACTGAGATCAAGTTCCCTCTAAATAACTGAAGGCAAAGGAGTGTGCTTCAGCAGATCATTCCTGAGGGATGCAGGTCATCATGGTGGGGAGGAAATGGCAGAAGTCAAGGGAGGCAAGCTGGGAGGAGGAGGCGGCTTTGGACTTGGTGGTCTCATTGCACATGCATCCAAGAACCGGAGAGTGAATAGCAAGGGGCTGGGCTCCAAAGACTCATGCCTAGCTCTAATACCTAACTTTCTCCAGTGATCCTCCACCTTCCCAAATAGCCCCATCAGCCAGAGTTCTTCTTGGACAGACACTGTGTATGGTACAACCAGTGAAAACCCCATTGATAATGCATGACTAGCTTACTTCCATCTTTCATAAAGCTGTTGATGTTTATTGAAATTGTATTTTCCATTACATCATTCAGTACTAACAGTTCTCTCTTCTCACAGGTTATCCAGATTATGCTTGGCGTCTATCATGTACTCATGTGGTATTTCCTATTGCTATTGTATATGGGACAAATTAAAGGAGTATTTGGGACTTATGAACCTTTAACTTACAAAATGGGAACTGGTTTGTGGGGACTTGCTGTGAGTAGAATATATTTGTGTTGATTTTATTAATTCAGTAAATAATATTGATTAGTATTAACAGATGGTAGGAGCCAGTTTCTAAACAAGGTTTTCAGGAGAATCATATAACTCAATGCCATTTTCTGACGTATTCAAAAATCCAATTTCTTCTATCAACAAATATGTATTGATCATTTAACCTACAAGCGCTATAAAAGATATGTGGATATGAGAGCAAATGACAACCACAATATGGACTATAGCATAACCCTAGATATGTCAAAGACAAAGACACTTTCTTAGCCATCAAATCCATTGTAGTGGTTAATTTTTAATGTTTGCTATTACCTGCATTCTGGTGTGGTTTCTAGACACCCGTCGGGCAGAAGAAAAAACTCAAGAGTGTGGGGGATCCCTGGAAGTCAAAGAAAGAATGCATCACAAGACATAAAGAAAGATCTGGTCTATCATCTTCTATTGGTTTGTCAGTATGATAAAGGTTGAAAACTGACTACTGGGCTTATTAATATGGTAACCAATCATAAACATGACAAGTAGTTTCAGTAAAACGATTACATGAAATCTAATTGGACTTGGTTTAGGAAAATGGAATGAGAGCTGAGGGATTTTTTTGTATTTTTAATTTACTTTTCGATAATTCTATACTTGTGCACAATGCATTTGGATCGTATCTACCAGACTCCCTCCCTCCAGCTCCTCTTGGAGTCCCCAACACATTTCCCTTTCAACTTCATGTTGTTTCTTTTCTATAATCATTTGCTGATGTGGGGGTGGACCCAGAATAAAAAGCAATAAATGTTATGAGGTAATAAGGGGAATGTTGCAATCATGTATGTATGTAGGCAAGAAATAATGAGTTTTAGTGAGCAAATAGCTATGGTCATGTTCCCCAGTGGTGGTTCTCAGTTAGTGTTCTGTTTACCCCTTTAGAGAACATGTCATAGTATCTGGAGATGCTTTGGAGTTTTAAATCTAGTAAGCAGAAGTCAATCATGCTACTAAGCATCCTATAATGCACAGGACATTATTTGCAAAATATATATAAGCATTAATGTAAACAGTGCTAAGGCAAGGGAACAAAGAACAAAGAACAGGTCAGCTTCTGGTTTGATTTTGGAAGCATGTGGGCAATTTCCTACGAAAGCTTAAAGTATCTCAATGTATCAGAAAGAAACATATGGGCTGAAAGTGAGAGCAGGCATTGGACCAGAAGAGAGGAGAGCATGTGAAGTGGTCATCTGAGGAAAGTATGAGAGAGTATGCGGCTTATGGAAAAGTAATTTGATCTTTAAACAGCATTAAGGACTAAAGGGTTAGGTACATGACTGCATAGTGAGATAAGTCTTTATGCAAGCCATGTTTATCTGCATGGAAATGCTGCAGGAGTCAAACACTACATTTCATCAGGATCTTGGTTAAAAGATCTCATTTTGATTTTTTTTAAAAAGTGCACTGGAGTTGAGAATGGTTATAAAAAGTATTTGTAATGGCTGATCATAGAATTGTAGAATTGGTGCTGGTGGTGACAAGAATTCAATAGGGAACAGAAGATCTGAGAACATATATAGGGTGGGGAAAGCATTGCTAGAGCTCAGTGCCAGAGGGCATCCTCCACAGCAAGTAGTGGCAAGAATGAATGTGTAGCCCTGAGATGTAGAAGGACCAACAAAGGCAAGAGAGTGAGTATGGAGATCAAGTACTTCTTATGAAGGATTTGAGGGGGAAAAATTCAAAGACTCATATACCCAGAGTAAGTAGAAGGACACACACATATAAATCACTGAAGATTAAATGGTTTAGGGGAGTCTTCAAAGGGTCAAAACTTCAAATCACCTTGAAAGGAGTGAATGATAAAGCAGTCAGTGAGTGACCTCAAGTGCAGGGATAGTGGATGATGGAACTGAAACAAAAATCTAGAGGGGAAAAACTAGTGGTGAAAATAGACAATGGGACAACAAAAAAAGAAAGAAGAAAACCGCTGCCCTTGTGCTGAAACAAAGATGCTCCCTCAGCTGTCTCAGAGGAGGTTAGGTGGTCACTAGAAGAAACTGTGACCTTGAAGACGGCTGCCTTTATCCACGAGCTGCTGCAGACTGTGAAGGACAAAAATCCAAACAAGTCGTGTTGATAAGCAACCCACTGCCTCACCAATAAGAAAAAGTGCACTTGGCTCATAAATAAAAAGCATATGGAAGATTGAAGCAAGATGGCGGGCCGGCGGTGAGTAGGAATGAAAATCTGTGTGCCTAGAAACAGATGTGAGAAGCGGTTTCTCCTCACAATATCTTTGTCCACGTCACCTGATAGATCATGGCCGCAGTAGCGAAATGGGTGACATCAAGCAGGACTGTCTGCAAACATTTATTTCCAATCCAAAATGGAGCCTTATCTAGCGTTTGTCGAAAGTCTACCTACTCTTCTCTTCCAGATGACTACAACTGCAAGGTGGAGCTTGCTTTGACGTCCGATGGCCGGACAATAGTGTGCTACCACCCTTCCGTGGACATCCCGTACGAGCACACGAAACCTATCCCTCCACCAGGCATTTTGCGTAATAATGAAGAAACACATGAACAAGTGCTGAAAACCAAGTTAGAAATAAAAAGCGAACGACTTGAGCAAGGGCCCATGATAGAACAACTCAGCAAGGTGTTCTTCACCACAAAGCACCGCTGGTACCCGCACGGACAGTATCACAGACGTCGTAAGAAACCAAATCCTCCCAGAGACAGGTGATGGCTCTTGACTTCCCAAGCATAAGGAAGTTTTGCTGTGTGTCTTATTTGCCAGCTGAGAAAACGCACCTGGTGTATTCATTAAGATATTATGTAAGAAAATAATAAAAGTACTCCTTCATATTTTTTTAAAAAAAAAGCATATGGAAGAAAGAAGAAAATAAAAAAATTTGAAAAAAACAGAATTTTCAGACCAAACTCAGAGAAATGATTTGTGTTCATTGTGTTTCATTTTATACTATAAAGATAAATTCAGGGGTCTAGAGAGGCAGCTCCGTCAGTGAGGTCACTGCACAAACACGAAAACCCAAGTTTCACTCCCCAGGGCCATGTTTTCTTTGTGCTTTTACCATGACGCTTTTGGTACAGTGTTTTGTTTTATCTTGTTTGTCTTTTTGTTACGGGGTATAGTTTTGGCTTGTTTACTTGCTTGCTTATTTGTTTTGAGAGAAAAAAAAAACATCAATTTGGATGAAAAACTTGGGGGAGGAAAAGACTATAACAAAATGTACTGTATGAAAAAATTAATACAATTTTTAAAGTATGAAATACAACTGCTACTTTTTTATAAAACCTAACTTTTGCTAAAGTCAGTAAACTAGAAGAGACAAAGGTTGGAGAGATGGTTCAGTCATTTAGAGCACTTGTTGCTCCCTCAGGGGACCAAGGTTTGGTCCCCGCACCCACACCAGGGGACTCACAACTTCTTGCAGCTTCAGCTCCACTTTTGATCTCCGCAGGAACTGGAAGCACACACATATATACTCATAAGTAAAAATAAGAAGACTGAAGACAAACAAAGACTATTTCAGGGAAGTTGTATAGCCTGTTTTTAAATAACACAGTGGTGCTTTATACTTCCGGGAAAATAGAAATCCTAAAAGGAAATAGTGGAATGTCTTCTAAAATAATTTTTATAAAAAGCAAGGTGGTTGGGAAGATGACTCAGCAAATAAGAGTACTTGCTCTGCATGCAATCATAAAAACCTGAGTTCAAATCTCCAATATCCACATAAAAAGCCAGGCATGGCTGCACATACCAGTAACAGCAGCAATGAGGGGCAGAGACCATCAAATTCCAAGCGTTCAGTGGTCAGCCAGCCTAGCTGAAACAGCAAACTTCCAGTTCACTGAGAAACCCTGTTTCAAAACAATAAAATGAGAAAAAATAAATGAAGACACATACGTATGATTAGATGCTTGTATCTGCACACTCACATGCATGTTACACACATACACCTAACATGCATGCATACATAAATAGATAAACAAAGTGAAAGCCTGTGGATCCTGTGGCCTTAAAGGTGACTATTGCCTCTCAGTGAAAAGGTTGTTTTTTACAGTCATGATGTCTAATGGATGTATGAACCACTTCTCCACATCTGGATATATACACAGTCATTATAGTCCCAGGTATCTCACTAGAAACAAAAGAAGTTGGAGTAACAACTGAATGGGTTATAGAAGAGATATCATATAACCAAACATGGTCCCTGGTTCAGGAAGTCTTAAGAGGACTTGCTGTATACTACAACCTAAATCCTACCCACTGTCCCCTGCTGGTACCTGTTGTGACCTCCTGTTACTTTCAATATCTGTCATCTTTTGAAACCATGATTATCTCATAATGGAAGCTTGTCCCAACCCTGTCTACTAAAACTTCTCTCTTTGCTGCTATTAATATTCTGAAAATCTTGTTCTGAAAGATAGTTGTTTTAAAGTATACTTAAATTACTGAGCACTATCAATGAGTATTTACCAATGCATGTTTGTGTCTAGTTTATCTTTTCAGGAACCTTCACAATAAGAGCAGCAAAGGTTCAAAATAATAAATATTTGGTAAGTTGAAATGTTTGATGTCTTGTATGAACTTTCACAAAACAGAGAAGGGATTTAAAAGAAAAATAGTGTTGGGGAGGGAGAAATGGCTCAGCAGTTAAGAGCACTGGCTGCTTTTACAGAAGTCCAGAGTTCCGTTCCCAGTGCCCATGTTGACTTGCAATTTCCAGTAGCTCCAACTCCAAGAGATCTGGCTCCCTCTGATGGACTCTGGAGGCAACTGCACTCACAGGCATATACACATGTGTGTGCACACACATGCATGCACTCACACACAAATATACACAAATCTTTAAAATAAAGAAAAAATAGTCTCTAAAACATAAAGAAATCTACCATCCTTATAAAATAAGTGAGACAAATTACTTAATGTAGACCAGATGTATTACTTAATAATCATGGTTGTTAACTTCTGCTAAAACATGTAGATTTAAATAACAATTTTGTTTGGATATTCTACCCTTAACATTTCATGAATACTGTGACAAAAATTATTTACAGGATCTAAAGTCTGTGATTTTAAAGTTTGTGATTTCTGTGATTTAATACTTCATTGTCTGTTCTACTCACTTTGGGAATACAGTTGTACCTTGTATGAAAGTAGGGAGTTTTCAAAAAAAAAAACTAAACCCTGCATGGTGTAGGTGGAAAATTTTTAGAATAAAATAGAATTTTATATTCTAGAATTTTATAAATCAATTCATCTAATCTTAAATGCTTATACATCAAGAAATCTGGGATTAGATAGATGGCTTGTGAATTAAGAGCACTTGCTGCTCTTACAGAGGACTCAGGTTCAATCCTCAGCACTAACATAGACGCTCACAGCTGTCTGTAACTCAAGTCCAAGGGGCTCTGACATTCTCTTCTGTCCGCCATGAGCTCTGCATGAATGATACACTGACAGGCGTCCATGCAAAATACCCATAAACATAAAAAGTCTCAACTTTCAAAATAAACAAAAATCAAATCCTGATGTCTGTCCACAGACACTGACAGATGGTGCCAGCTAGTAAAAACCCAGGATTCAAGCATATTAACTCCTGTTGACTTTATCTCTGCAAGCTGCCACCATTTCCCAACAATTGTTTTTATTTTTTAAGTATCTTGGTCAGTCTTGATCTTTCCCACACCTGACTCACAAGATTCTAAAATACAAAAGTTTTGAGCATTTGTGAAATTCAAAACTTGGCAGTGTCTGATAATGAAGTTATGTTTTCTCTAAATTAACTAGCTTTTATGTAAACCAGGAAATGGACAGCAGAAACACACTTGTAAAGCTGCACAAACTGCAAGGAAATTTTAACTCAATTGTTTTCTGTTCAAAACAAAACAAAAGCCTCAAAAACAATCCAAAGTACTTACCCTGTAAAAAAGTTTTAAGTTTACTCCTTGCCTCCTTTGCAGCTTCTCTGCGCCCTGTCCCTGAACATACTCTGTATAATTGTTACGATCATTGCGGCCAGCCTGACAATCGTGGAATTGGCTCATTTCCGGTCTGTGTCATATAGGAATTATGGACAAGCAGTGAGTAACTGATTTCATAGAAACACATTTCTTTTTATGTTTGTAATGGTATTTAATTTGAAGATTCCCTACAATATAGTTTGATCATATCACCACCCCCATTTCTCTAGCCCACTTTCATCTCTGTGTTCTATTTATTTCAATAACCAGAGAAGCCTATTTTGTGCCGCCCTTATACTCACAGCTGTGAGACCATCCCCTGACCATCCCCTGGAGTGTGATTTATCTAGCTAGGGCTGTACCCTTAAGAAAACTGATTCTCTTTGCCCAGAAGCTGTCAGCTGTCAATAACTCCTCAGTTAGGGATGGAGACTCCTGAGTCGCCTCTCCCCAGCCTCTTTCAGTGCTAGAATGTTGACTGGTTTGCTCTTGTGTGGCTTTTGTGCAGGAAAAGACAGGTGCTGTGAGCTTCTGAGTCTAGGAGCCCTGACTTGTCCAGAAGACGCAAGGACACTATTTCATATTGGTCCTCTGTGATTTATGGCTCTTAACAAGCTCTTTGCCTGCTCCTCTAAGATGATCCCTGAGCAGCGTGTGTGTGTGTGTGTGTGTGTGTGTGTGTGTGTGTGTGTGTGTGTGTGTGTGCTGCATATGTGTATGTAAAGGCCAGAGAATAACTTCAGGTGTCATTGCTCGGGCACTGTCCATCTTGGACTTTGTGATGGTGCCATTGCCCTCAAACTCCCCAAGTAGGCTAGGTTAACTGGCTAGTGGACCACAAACATCAGCCTGTCTCTGTCTCCCCAGCACAGTGTGTGCACCCTCAATCCACCCCCCCATGTCCCCACCTCTCTCTCGGGTTCTGGAAGTGGAAATTGAGCTCAATTTCTTGCGCCTGCAAAGCAAGCACTTTGTTGACTGAGCCATCTTCCAGTCTCTTCACAGATGACATCTTAATGCAAAAAGGGTGCATTCTTGGACCACTAAGCCTTTCAGCAAACCAGCAAGAGAGCTTTGTTGTTGCTCTAATATGTTTAAACCATGAATACCTAGTCATTTCCAGTCCCACGTAGGACTTTCATAACAGCCTGCTTTTGCATGTTATGCAGATTTTGTTTTAGCTCCTCACTACTAAATGTAAGTCAGCATCAGTCTTGTTTCTTTGTACCCCAGACATAATTACTTAGAAGTACAACACATCATACTATAGTAAATGTGAATAGCCTTGTTGATAACATAAGAGATTTCCTTGAGTTGTGTTGACTTGGAATTCAGAATCATCAGAAGATGGAAAGGCCTCCCATGCTCTTAGATCAGTAGGATTAGCATATTAGAAATAGTCATCCTACCCAAAGCAATATACAGACTCAATTCCCATCAATATCCCAACACAATTCCCATCAATATCCCAACACAATTCATTACAGACCTTGAAAGGACAATTTTCAACTTCATATGGAAAAACAAAAAACCCAAGACAGCTAAAACAATCCTGAACAATAAAAGAGCTTCTGGAGGTATCATCATCCCTGACTTCAAGCCGTGCAACAGAGTTAGAGTAATAAAAAAAAAAAGCCACATGGTGTTGGCATAAACACAGACACCATTGATCAATGGAATTAAATTGAAGACCCAGACATAAAATCCACACATTTATGGACATCTTTTTTTTATAAAGAAACCAGAAATACACAATGGTAAAAAGAAAGCATCTTTAATAAATGATGCTGGTGTAGCTATGTAACATGAGGGGCCAGCTTGTTGGGGTATCTGTCCTGCCCAGTACCCCACAGCAGGCAGGCCCCAAAGAAAATCACGCACAAGACTCCATAAGGTTATAAACTGATTGGCCCATTAGGTCAGGCTTCTTGTTAACTCTTATAACTTATATTAACCCATTATTCTCATCTATGTTAGCCATAATGGCTCCATACCTTTCTCAGCTGGGCACGTTACATGCTGCCTCTTCGGTGGTCTGCGCAGGAGTGGCTGAGGAACCTCCCTGCTTCCCAGAATTCTCCTGTTCTCATTGCTCCACCCCTACTTCCTGTCTGGCTTTCCCGCCTATACTGCCTGCCTGGCCAATCAGCGTTTTATTAAAATATGATTGACAGATACAGACAATTCTCCCACACCATAGCTAGATGTCTACATGTAAAAGAATGCAAATAGATCCATATTGATCATCCTGCAAAAAATTCAAATCCAAGTGGAGCAAAGGCCTCAACATGAAAACAGATACACTAAACCTAATAGACAAGAAAGTGGGGGATAGTAAATCTAGTAGACAAGAAAGTGTGGGATAGACTCAAACACATTGGCACAGGAGACAACTTTGTAAACAGAGAACTGAAAGGGCAGACGCAATGGTCAACAATTAATAAATAGGACCTTGTGAACCTGAAATGCACTGTAAGACAAAGGACACTGAATGGGAAAAAATTTTCATCAACTCCACATCCATTAGAGAGCTAATATCCAAAATAAATAAAGAACTTAAGAAACTAGATATCAACAAACCAAACAACGTAATTTAAAAATGGAGTACAGATCTAAACAGAGAAGTCTCAAAAGAGGAATCTCAAATGGCTGAGAATTACTTAAAGAAAGATTCAACATTCTTGACCATCAGAGAAATGCAAATCAACTACTTTGAGATTTGACCTTACATCTGTCAGAATGGCTAAGATCAATAGCACAAATGACAGTTCATGCTGGTAAGGATGTGGAACAAGGGGAACATTTCACCATTGCTGGTAAATGTGCAAAGAGTCACTGTGGAAATCAATATGGTGGTTCCTCAGAAAAGTAGGAATTGATCTACCCCAAGACCCAACTATACCATTCATGGGCATTGCCTTGTTTTGAATGAAAATGGCCCCCAAGGGAGTGACACTATTAGGAGCTGTGGTTTTATTGGATGGACTGTTTGTGGCTTTGTTAGAGGAAGTGTGTCACTGTAGAGGTAGGCTTTGAGGTCTTATAGATGATCAAGCCACACGTGTCCGGTGAGACAGACCACTTCCTGTTGCCTGTAAGTCAAGATGTAGAACACTAGGCTACTTCTCCAGTTCCATGTCTGCTTGCATGCCAACATGTAGCATCATGATGATAATAGACTAAACCTCTGGAAATGTAAGCCACCCCAATTATATGCTTTTTCTTTATAAGAGTTGCCTGCTGTGGTCATGGTGTCTCCTCACAGCAATAGAAACCCTAACTAAGACAGGTATATACCCAAAGGATCCTCCTCCCTACTGCAAGAACACTTGTGTCCATAGTGGCTTTATTTATAATAACCAGAAACTAGAAACAACTTAGATGTCTCTCAAGATAAGAATGGATTAAGAAAATGTGGTACATTAACACAATAGAGTATCACTTGGCTGCTTAAAAAAATAACATCATGAAATTTGCAGGCAAATGGATGGAACTAGAAAAAAAATCATCCTGAGTGAGGTAACCAGAAAGGAAAATATGGTATGTACTCACTTATAAGTGGAACTTAGCTATTAAGAAAATGATAATCAAGTTATAATCCACAGACCCAGAGAGGTTAGCTTAAAAGGAGGGCTATAGGGGAGAAGCATGGATCTCCCCAGGAAGGGGAAATAGAATAGATTTTACCAGTAGACTGGGGGAAAGAGGGATGGGGAGGAGTGAAAGGAGAGAGTGTGGGAAAAGACAGCTGGAACTGGTGGGAGGCACTTGAGGGTACGTGGAAACTTAGTGCAGTGGAAACTTCCTGGAATCTATGAAGGTGACCCTAGTGAGGACCCTAGTGAGGAGGAAACGGACATCTTTTTGTAGCCAGACAGGGCTCTAGTGGTGGGACCAGGTTACATCTGGTTGAGTTGTTGACTGAGGCGATACCATAGAGATCCCTAAACAACCCAGGCTGATGCTAAGACATGGCGTCTCTAAAAACTGTCAGCAGAGGTCCTATTGCTGAGGTAGAGAGGTCGAACTGATGCCTGCTTGGAACTCTTACTCCAATGTTCTTAGTCTCTTTGGAAAAGAAGGTTCTCTGCAGGTTATGGAAGAAGAAACGTGGACACCAACCCAGCCACAAAATCATTTCCTGTCTGCAAGATGTGCTGGGGCAATGGTGAGGCAGAACTTGTGGGAGTGGCCAACCAATACCTGATTTAACTTAAGCCCCTGCCACAAGAGGGAGACCATGCCCTGTACTTACTGGATGGCCAAGAACCAGAAACTGGATACCCCGGAGACCTAGGGTAGAACCAAATAGGACTTGACCTTTTAAAAAAAATCAATTAAATGATTCGTGATGATACTCTGCTGTATTCACAGATCAGTGCCTTGTCCAGTCATCCTCAGAGACAGTTCCTTCGGCAGCAGAAAATGGGAGAAGGTGCAGAGACCCATAGCCAGACATTATGCGGAGAGTTAAATTGGAGGTGTCCACTGGGTCCCTCCTCTCAGAACTCAGGAAACTCCACAGAAGAGGGAGAGGAAAGACTGCGGGAGTCAGAGCACATGGAGAACTCTAGGAGAACATAACTCACTGAATCAGCTAAGCAGGGCTCACATAGGCTCGCAGAGACAGGAGCAACAAGCAACGTATCTGCATGGGTCCGCACCGGGTCCTCTGTGTATGCTACAGCTGTTAACGCGGTGTTTTGTGGGACTCCTAACAGTGGGAGCAGGGATGTTTCCTACTCTTTCGTCTTCTCTTGGGATTCCTTTCCCCCATTAGGTTGCCTTGTCTTGTCTTGATAGGAGGGATTTCACCTTGTCTTGTTGTGTCTTGTTTTGTTCTGTTTGGTTGTCATCTCTTGGAGACCTGCTCTTTTCTGAAGGGATATGAAGGGGGAATGGATCTGGGGGATGGGAAGCGGGTATCTGGAGGAGTAGAAGAGGGGAAACTGGTCAGGATGGATTATATGAGAGAAAAATCTATTTTCAATAGAACAAATAAACTATTGGCACTTAGAAAAATAATTAATAAAAACATTTCAATGTAAAAAAAGAAGCAACACCAAGTTGAGTTGCACCTGTTTGTCATTACCTCTGTCACAGAGTACCATGCCAACCCTCTTTGTATAGGCTCCTCATTTCTTGTTCCCAACTGCCCACAGTTTGCATTCCTCATAATTATATTAAATTAGATAGATTAAAATCTAAGCAAAACTAATTTTGCTTAATGTTCCAGTTCATTTATACTGAGTTTCTAGAACCCTCTATGCTTTCTCTCTAGGCGTCCAAGTAGCTAATTATTTACCCTCCCAGCAGCCTTTGATCCTATTTTTAAAACAGAGAATGATTCTATTTGAGTAAGAGGGGAACAGTGCCCACAGCTTTCCTGAGATAACATGAAAAAATCCATCTATGCAAAAGAGACTGCAATTCATGCTCTACAGACTTCCCCTGATCCTGAAATAATGAGTACTGGAGCACAGGCACATGGTCATTATATCCCAGATTTCCTCATTTGTAACATTGAGCACCATTCTGTAACATGAGGCCTGCTTGTTGGGGTTTCTATCCTGCCGGGTTCCCACAGCTGTTTAGCCCCAAAGAAAATCACAGAGAGAGTCTACATTAATTATAAACTGATTGGCCCATTTAGCTCAGGTTTTGTATTAGCTCTTATAACTTATATTAACCCATTATTCTAATCTATGCCAGCCACATGGCTCAGTACCTTTTTCAGCAGGGCAGGTCACATCCTGCTTTTTCGGTGATCTGGGCAGGACCGGGAGGAATGGGCTTCCTCCTTCCTAGAATTCTCCTGTTCTCATTGCCCTGGCTCTACTTCCTGTCTTGTTGACCCACCTATACTTCCTGCCTGGCCAATTAGCATTTATTTAAAACATGATTGACAGAATACAGACAATTCTCCCACACCATCAATTCTTAAATGTTGGGGATATGCAAATTCAATTATTTTTGAACTGCAGAATAATAATGATGCTTTGAGACTGTATTAGCATACCCGTATGGAGCAGACTTCTCCCCTAGGTACTTGCCACTGTTCATCCATTTCAGCCTCATAGAACACCCATCCAGGTCCACATATGACAGTGGCAGAGTGACTTAACCTATTACCAGGGGAGGCTGTGAAGTCACAAGAGAAAGTCAGATCTTAGCAGTATACATCAGAGAGAAGATAAGAGCTGAACAATCCTCAGCCAGCCAGTCACTGGATATCCTTTAACAGCACATGCTGGCAAACAAAAACCATTGGAATCTAATTAAGAAGTTTCTTTTCTGGGTTTTGAGGGACCTATACAATGAATGACAGAGAAAATGCTCTTAACTACATGGTGCTCACTGTGAAAGGTCGTGGAATTTCAGTTATTTTCTATTGTTATTTGTAAATATTTCTGAACCACAAAAAAGTTCTGTTGTTATGGTTCTAAAAGAGGAGAAATCCATTCAATTATTCATTTGATCTTAAACTGTTCGCAGAGAAAAACAAATGTGTTGTACTTCATCAATCCTTCACTGACTCAGAATCTTCCATACTGGCTGAGGTTAATTGTTATAATTGTTATAAGTATAGATGGTAGAGGAATGGGTGACAGTAACATAGATACATGCATAAATTAATAGATAAGTAGATAATAGGCAGCTATTAACACATACATATTAATATATAGATAGATGGCAGATGTATACAGTAATACATAGATGATAGAAAGATATATAATAGCCGGGCGGTGGTGGTGCACGCTTTTAATCCCCACACTCATGAGGCAGAGTCAGGTGGATGTCTGTGAGTTCAAGGTCAGTCTGGTCTACAAGAGCTAGTTCAAGGACAGGCACCAAAGCTACAGAGAAACCTTGTCTCAGGAAAATATATATATAATAAACATATAGATACTATAGATACACAAATTCATGCACACATTAATACACAATAAATATGTATGCATAGACAAATAAATGTATGCACATTAAAACATAAACAAATAGGTGATAGAATGGTAGGCATGAAAATAGATAGATGATAGATTAGATCGATAGATTGTAGTATATATAAAGATAGACAAGGCATATGTATTAATAGATATGATGGATACATGTATAGATACATAGATAATAGATAAATAGATAAACATCTGAGAGGTAGATAGAAGATGTATAAATAAGTACATAGATATGTGGTTACATACACAGCAAGTGCTTTACCAACTGAGTCATCATCTTCCCAGCATTGGCCTCTGTCTCTTTTTTAAGCTATCCTTTACTCATAGGGCAGACAGTACACATGTTAACCTATGTACCTGCTGAAGCACAGTCTTCCAAAACCCTTGATATCTCACATTTGCTCTCCTTAGCAATGAGAATACCTGAAAGCCTATCTGGAAACCTTGTGGAAGTCCCATGATGGAAATGAAGGCAGGAGTTGGGAGGTTCACAGACACTTGGAAGGAAATAGAAAACAAGAGATGAAAATAGAAAATGCAAAACAACAGTCCAATACTAGAATGGAGAGACTAATGATACTGCAGAATTAAAGAACAAAGGAAAAGAGACAACAAAGAGTAAGCTAGAAGAGACTGGAAGATTCTTTTCCAGTACCAATTTAAATGATGTTTTTACATTCAGTTCTAATACACTAAATATGAATGGCATTCTATTTCTTTACCCCTTAAGGAAGTATTATTATGGTATAATTTAATTCTGTTTGGATATGGAGATACTAAATTGATTAGGGTCATAGACACTTGATTTTTATTATTCCCATAAAATGCAAATTAAATTCCTCTAACTAATTTTTTTAAAGAAATACTTGTTTGTTTGTTGGACACCTTCTATATGATTGCTTTTAGAATGCAAAAAGTCAGCAGAAACTATCCTATCCCTAGAAGCAAACATGAAGAGAACACCTAGGGGAAGCCCAGCCTTCGTTCCAAGGGGTCTCTCCTGCAAGACTCAGAAAGGAGCCAAGATGATGTAATATAGATCTCAAGATGGTGAACTTCTCCATCCCACACATATGCAAACATCAGAGAAATTCAGAAAGAGGGACAGTCACTCAAAAAAATGCTGTAAGAACATTTCCTAACATAATACCTCCCATGATCAATTTAAATGGTGGACTCACATTGAGGTTATTTGGTGAGACAAATACAGTTTTACTTTTGCTGCTTCCTCAAAATTGCCTAGTAAATAAAATCAGGAGCTCTGAAATTAAGCTGTCTGCATTGAAGACATGGATATGCAGTTCATGGGTTCATTCCCTGAGTGAGTCATAGCTCTTTTCCAAGGCTTAGTTTCCTCATCGAACCAGAAATGAAGAAATTAGCACCACCGCCAACTAGCTCAACAATGCCAAAGCCCCTGAGTTCGATGCACAGTCATCATAAATAGTACATTGCCACATGGTCAGCTCACTATGGAAGGCATGACAATCATATGAGATGATTTACAAGGTGTCCCAAAGAAAGCCACATAAACCACATCCTGAAAACCATGTTGGAGTTGATGACAGGTGAACTTTGTAGGAACAAGTGTCTAATCGTGTAGGCAAAGTGGAAGATACAGCACAGTTGAAGACCGCAGTGGGTAGAACCAGCTCGCAGAAAGCTTCCTGAACAGGGAAACTCAGATTCTGTAGGATGTGCAGGGATGAGGAAGGATAAGAGGGGACATAGAGGGCCTGATAGAGTTGTTGCAGCTAGATGCTGCACATCTGGGAAAGCTCTCGGACTAGAACAAATAGCAATGTTCCCAATTGATAGATCTGAGCTAAAGTCAATCAAGTCAACCCTTATCAGAAAAAAATCAGAATCACAAATATTAGTATTGGAAAAGAAATATTCCCACACTTAAGCTAGCATGCTGGTGTCTGACTGCCACCAAAGCACTGTAGTGAGCAAGGCTGCAAGATCAAGAGTTGCAGGTCCTTCTGAGATGCACAGAAAGTTCTAGGCCAGCCTGGGCTACGTGAAACCCTGTCTCAAAAGGAAAAACTATTTATCAGGGCTAAAAAGATGACTCAGTGGTTAAGAGTGCCCCGAGTTTGGTTCCCAGCATCTATGTTGAGTGACTCACAACCAGGAATATTATGAGCTCCCCTTCAGCTCGAAGGAATCTGAAGCCCTCCTCTGATCTCAGAAGGAACCTGGACATGTGTTTACACACACACACACACACACACACACACACACACACACGCACGCACACACACACACACACACACAAATAAAAATAAATCTTTTAAAATATATTTTAATTAAAATAGAATTTGAATATTTCCCTCTTTCCCTTTTCTCCCTCCAACCTCTGACTCCCCAAATCCCTCTCAATTTGATGGCCTCTTTTTCTTTAATTATTATTGTTACATATAGATGAAGAGAGCACAAATATATAAATACAACCTCATGAGTCTATGTTTTGTTATTTGTGTATATATTATTTCATGGCTGGCCATTTTGTATTGGATAACCAATTAAGGGGCTCATCTCTGAAAGATGCTAATTCTCTTTCTCTCTCAGCCATAATTAGCTGTCTATAGTTCTTTGTCTTGGGGTGGGAACCTGTGAGATTTCATCCTTCTATATTAGCATGTCTGTTGTCATTGCCACTCTTCAGGTCTTGTTTAGGCAGCCATTTCTGGGAGACACACTCTATTACCAGACTTCCTGGCCCTCTGGCTCTTACAGTCTTTCCACCCCCTCTTCCTCGGCCTCGGGTGCAGAACTTGTGTTTCAGATGTACCCACTGGCATTGAATTTCCCATGATTCATTGATCTCTGTATTGTACCCAGCTGTGGTTTTGTGATGGTCTCCATTTGCTATAAAGAGAAGCTCTTTGATGAAGGGTGTTGGTTGCACTTAGAGTGGGCATGAGGATGAATTTTAGAATGTTAGGGACTATGCTGGTCTAGTAAAGCGATGGCAGTAGCTTCTCTTGTGAAATCCATAATCTCACTAGTCCTGGCCAAGTTGACCAGGGTTCCGGTGCCAGGCATCATTTCCATCCAGTTAAATAGGCTTTAAGGCCAATTAGAGAGCTGGTGATACCAACACGTAAGTACCACTATTGAACCTTTAAGGATGTCTTGCCGTGTTGGTCACCGTTGTTGTTTGTAGTTATCACG